AAACAGCCTGTAAATTTATATGGATTAAGATTAAGCAATAATTAGATCAATTGGCAGATATGTTTTAAGTTCTCTCTCTCTCTTCTTAATTAGCTCATAAATGGGCATGGCATGTCTCTCTCCATTTCCTCTCCTAAAATTGTGTGTGTGTGTTTTGGGGGGGGGGGGGGGGGTACCCTCTTAATAGCTCATAAATGGGCATGGCATGTCTCTCCCTCTTTCCTCTCCTAAAATTTTAAGTAACGTTGCATGCATGTTGACCCCCACCCAACATGTGGTGGGATTAAATAAAATAAACATACCCAGTGAAAGAATCTGCTTGGCAGCTAAAACACTACTAAACCCATAGCCTATTAAACCGCATTCTGAGCGAAAGTTTCGCAGTGACAAACTGAAAATACACGAGACAATTGGGTAATAACTGGGGTCCGATACTAACCCCAAAAATTCGACGCTACAGAATAAACTAACTGTTGAGATTATCTATAAAATTAAAATGTGCAGGAAAACCACTAACCATTGTTCAACTTACCATTGACAATGTTATGCCCTCAAGAGCTTGACTGGAAAGAAAGACATCGCGAAAATTTCTGGGTTCACCTGTCATGCCAGGGTCAGCATAATAAACCTGCCCATGGTTTTACGTAGTGGATTACTAACAAAAAACCGAAGTTGTAAGAACTCAGTAGAGGTAAAAAGAGAGGCTTCTGCAAGGAAGTAAGATTAACAGGAGGCCCCTCGTAAGAGCAAGAAGAAAGCAATTGCAATGTAGGAAGTGATGAAACAAAATTGTTTCACAAACCGGAGTCGGTCTTCCAGGTGAATCCTTGGATTCATTACTAACAAGAGGGTCTTCTGTATCTCTTGCATTGAGCTCGGAGAAGCCAGCCAGTCTCTCAACTTCTTTCAGTGCAACCAGCCACCTTCTTAGTAATTGAACCCTCTCTGTTCCCCGACATGAAACTGAAACTTCTTCTAGTCGTTTTACAGTAAGCTTAAAGCTTTGCATATTCCGATTGCCCTGTTTGACAAAACCACTCAAGCAATTCACAAAAAAACTCTAATTCACCCAGAAAGAGCCCCCCACCCGGGGAAAGAGAGGCAGAACAGTCCTGCCCTTGACAATAAAGGGGACGCAAAACCCTTGACAGAAGTATGCTCTCGGAAAAAGTGGCATTGTCATTCTCAAATCGTTAGATTACGATGCCATTTCTCTCATTCTAGAAATTAAAATGAAAAGGGGAGAAAAGAGTGTCGGAATATACAATTCGCTCTTGGATGATCTTGGCTCCACCAGCAACGGCATTGCTGGCGTGTAGGACGACGGAATCAGCGTAGTTGCGGACGGTACGAGAGAGGTTGCTTTGACCTCCTACTTCCACCGCTTTGTTCACCGCTGATCTTACCCACGACATCCTCGCTCACCACGCTTTTCTTGTACACTAATCTTCTTTCTTTGCGTTCGTAACATGCGGAAAAAAGTGGATGATCTTTTCCTTAATCCTTTAAAATATATGATTCATATCGATGTAGAAACTGGGCATGCAATTGATGGGGTAGGAAACATGAAAAGAAATTGGACGTTGATCCTGGTCACAAATGTTATTGCAGTTTCTAGTGCGGACTGGCCATTGATTCAACGGCGATGATCAATCTGTGAGAACAAGAGAAGGGAGAAGAGGATTGGATGGTAAGAGAGGAAAGAGAGAAGGAATGGCATCAGGGTGTAAGTGAAGAGATGGCAAAATGGCGAAGGAAGAAGTCAAGCGCTTGCGCGACACGATGAATGTTGATCTCTGCCATCAAGTTCGATTTATGTGCCTCTCGTTTCGCCTCGTATTTTTTTTTTTTTTAATTCATCTAGATTACCATTTGACGGTAGAATGACAACTAAGTAGCTCATTAAAAAAATTAATATTAAATTAAAATTTTTAATGCTGAAACATTGAAAGAGGAGTACTGAATTTAAAAATATTAGTCGTAAAAAATTAGAATTTGATATAAATTTTTTTATGGGGTCCTTTCTTGTCATTTCCCCCATTCGACTCACCCTTTGCCCCCATACTTTGGCGCTTAAAGCCGCCATTTCTCGTTGGTTGTTAGTTGTTACCGTTACTTGTCCATTTCAGGGCCAAAAGACGCCAGCAAAATAAGTAGACCCGTATCAGTATTCGTGGGCTCTTCTCTGGACGTTGGCCCATAAATTTTTATCCAAGTAAACAATTTCATTATTCTTAATATATTATTATTATTAATTAAAAATTTAGTTCAATTTAATAAGTGCTCAAAATATGTCCTTTTTAATTAATTTTATAAATCAAAATAATTTTAACAATTTTTCCAATGCTTTTGTGAAAAAATTTTAGAAAAGCATTGGTGGATTTCTTGATAAAGTAGACTTTGATATGAAAAAGACATATTATTAAAGACTTAATAATTAAGAATTATATCCAAATAAAATTTTGTTTATTTTTTCTGCCAACTTCTCTGATAAAAAATATGGCCTGTCTATAACTTTTTTTCATAACTTTTTATTTTATTTAGGAACTATGTATTCATCAACAAAAATGTTTTTTCATGTTAGTTTAAAAAAACCATACATTTATGCTATGTTTAGATGCACGTGGATTTAAATTTAGATATGGATTTGAGTTAAATTTATTATTTAGGTAACTAAAAATGTACAGATTTGAATTTAACCCAAATTCAAATCATACATAAATTCCTTTACAATTTTAAATCATTTCCAAACTCCTATTATTTTAAATTTCAATGAAAGCTTATTTCTTTTTTCATGTTCGTTCGTCAACTTCACTACCTTCTTAGCTTTGACATTTTTGCCTCTAATCAACATTGATTGAGACCATAGGTGACAATCAAGACTAGAATGCCGACACCAATAGGGACAAGACATCTAACATGGACCCTGCCATAGGGACCAAATAGTCGATGCTGACCGAGATCGAATGGTCGGCTTTGACCTAGATGGCATGGACGACACCAATTGGGATCAGACAACTGGCATCAAATTGGACAAGACCATAGGTGATGACCAAGACCGAACAGTCGACTTTAACTAGCTTCGAATGGTTGATGCTGACTGGGATTGGATGGCCGGTGCCAATTGGGATTGGATGGCGGGGGTGGACTGGGATGGAAAGGCTGATGCCAATTGAGACCGGATAGCCAACCTCAACTGATACCAAACCACTGATGCCTATCGAGACTAAATTGCTAGCAATAATCGAGACCATTGTGTCGTTGCCAATAATGATTAGACCAACATTGCCATCTGATTTTGGACAATCAAAGTCAACCAAAATTGGGTCACCACCCTTGATCAAGACCGGACCATTGACTTTGATTAAAGACATTATTTGAATTGCCTTTAAATTCAAACATAAAATTTAAAATTTAAAATCCAAACAAAGTATTTTAATATTATAATATAATTTAAAATTTTTTATATCATCCAAACAAAATATTTAAAATTTATAAATTTTAAATGTGAGATTTTAAATTTAAATTCTCAACTTAAATTCACTTATCTAAATATAACGTTAGAGTATTTTAAAAAGAGCTTAAAAACAAAATTGCGAGCAACGCTCACAGATGAGGGCTTGGAGCCCGGGGTTGAAGGACCCACACAACGTTATAAAGTGGAGATAGAGACAGCTGCTTTGAGTAAGCATCTATGCTATTATTCCTTGATAATAACAAGGAAAAGAAAAAAATACAAGGTTCACTTCAGTATGACATGTAAACCACTCTACAACTTTTTTGCTTTGGTGATGGAGCAATGTTGTATGCTTCTTCCTATTGCATGGCCCACCACGAATCAAGAATTAATGAAGATCAAAAAATAGGCCCAGAGCTTATTCCGAAGAATGAACTTTGAGTGCAAAAAGGTACGTTTCGATCATCAATTACGGCGTCTGAATGGGTCACTCGAGGAACGCTTTTCATTTCTGTTAAAAACTTGGATGGCCCCATACCAACTGAGATCCTCGTCAGAGGGAGCTATACAGCTCACCTTCAGCAATCAACTAGTCAATATCTGGCAATGGCATTTTCCAGTAGTTCCATGAATTGAAGTCTTCCTGCAAGGTTCCAGAATTAAAAATCCACGCTGTAAGTTGTGAAGTAAGGAAACAAAATCTCGTTCATGATTTTATATAATTCCTCACCTGCTCCACCAAAGAAGTAGGGGGAAACATGTCATTGACAAGGGTGTGTAATGATGTATATGACTTCACATCGATCCGATGACTTATGGCAACTTCGCCCTGTTGGATTTTGTAGGAATTATAGTTCATACGCGGGGATAGCAAATTGTATGAAATGTCAGTGCAGGATACACACCTTGGGGTTAATGATGAATATCTTGCCTTTTGGAATTCCAATCTTTCTGTAACTAAGTTCATCTGTGTCTCTATTGCCAAATCCAGCATAGAATGGGTTGTAATCAGCAGGGAAAAGTCTTTTAATATCCTGCAAAAATCATATCATGAGTACAATATAATGTTGGCAACAGTATGAATTTCCCAGTTACTTTGAGTGACAGGGCTTTGTGTTCCATAATTACCTCAAGACATGCGATCTTGAACTCGTGAGGTGCTCTTCTTATGACTTCATCAGCAAAAGAACCCCAACCACAACATAACAAGTCAGTCATGGATCAAAATCACTTCCGCAGAAAAAGAAAATGCAGCACATACACGTGCAAGTAATTCCATATGAAAAAAAATTTCTGTCAGCAAGGGCCAGGTAAGACAGTTCATTATACAGCATGACTTGGCAATAATGAATATGAAAGTCGGTATTTGCTAAAGCTCTTCATAAATGATAAAACCAAGGAAAATTTGAAAAAGATTAGGAGGCTAAGTACAGGCCCCAGATCCAGGTGGTTTAAGTATAAAATAACGAACATGCATTGTGTTTGCTGAAATTTCTGCGATTGGTTTCATACATAATTCACAATCACAATAAATATCGGGCTTGTTTCTTTTCCTTCTCTTCTCTACAATCTTATTCAGTTCACAGACATAGCATCAACGAATAAAGAAGCACAAGGGAGCTCCAATATTCTTATCACAATGCTGGAAATTGACAACATATACCGCATAGCAGAATCCATTGCAATCTTAATTAGTCATATTACAAGCGCCTCACTCCTCACCTTCTCGGTAAAGTGAGGGAAATAATCCATCAGGCGAAATAACCACAGGTCCATTTGGTAATGCTTTTCCATCCTGCAAGCAGGCATAACTAACAAAATTCAGCTACGACGGTATTATCACCAGATGACAAAATCAAACAGCCAAAAGATCAAGCAGATCGTTCATAAAGGAATTATCTAGTCATTAAATCAAGATCCACATTACATGGTTGATAGTGATCACAGGAAGCCAGGTTGCTTCAATACCTGTTTCAGGTTAAGCAAAAAGTTCCTGGTTAGATATGCTTGTACAATGGCACGGGCACTCAGAAACAGAAGTTGATATCCATTTTCCTGACACGCAAGCAGAATCTAACGTTAGACATTAATCTTCCTGATATACAATTCAATGCAAATTATATCATGAATGCTAGCTGCATATGACATTAAACATGTTAGCAATCACATTCAAACATGAGAAGAAGCTTAACTATTGAATAAAAATAATAATAGGGTAACCTAGTCCCTCTTCCTCTGAGAAATGACCACATTACGTGAGTTTGATTTACAATTTGCTAAAAACACATTTATCAAACTGAAATTTGAACAAAAGTTAGTTGTCATAATGAGATTTATGTCCAAATATATTTTTTAAGAAATCATTTCAGTAAACTGAAAGTTATTTGGATAATATCATCAAAAATACTTTTAAATGTGTAATTACCAAAAGGATATGAGTTTAATGATATGTAATATTTGTTATGTAAAATTTGACATGTTGAAAAAATATAAATAAATTAAAAAATCACAGGAATATTTCCTAAATGTGTTTTTCTTGATCTCAAAAGCAACTCATTGGAGCTTTGGTCTTGCACAGTCGGTTTCCTGAATATGCTTCCAAAAATAAGAATTTGGAAACCAAACAAAACTTCGCTAAAAGTTGTCCTTTTAAAAGGACTTTTGGGCTTCTAAAAGTGGAGACCAAACAATTCCTGCATGGTTCTGTGTTTTACTTTGAAAAATAATAGAGCAAAAATAATTTTTTGCAAGTTATAATTTTAATGAAAGAAATCAATACTATTCTTGGGAATATTTTGGTTATATCGAGAGGGATTATGTATAACTGCTTATATTCATAATAGAAAAGAAGAATATGCGATTTAGATATCTCTGATGGGCGAGGGGGGAAATTATTCCAAAATAATGATATTCATCAAATGTTGTTGTTGTTGTAATGATATTCATAAAATACAAAGTGAAACATGAAAAAATAAGCATGAAATGCTGTGTGGTCATGAAAGCAAACTACGGATACTATTTGTAAGTTGTGTAACAGTTTAGTTTGGCTACAAAAGAGAACAGTCATGCTAGCATTCCACTCAACTGTGCTTGCTAATCAAGCAAACCAAACGTTAACCAGGTTTCAGGTCCATTTGCTGAACAATCTCAAGCCAAAATACAGTGTAACTTAGTCCAGTTTCTTGCAAACCAAGTTCACGGGAGAGTGTGTGTTGGAATAGATCTATAACTATAAAAGAGAAGAGTGTTTGTTACATCACTACAGAAACAGCGTGCAC